GTAATTGTGAACTACTACTCTATTATCTATTTATCTCTTTAGCGTACACATAACATATACTTAAGTCCTCCATTTAGAAATCTCTGTTAAAGGGAAAATAACTTGTAACGTTACCAAAAAAAAAAAAAAAAAAAATTATGACAATGGCTAAAATCTGTAAAAGTATATTCCCTGAAAAAAGTACAGAAAGCATAATCACACAGCTACCTCCAAAAGAAATTGAATCATGAACCCAAGTTTCCATAGTGCTAAAAGTAATACTAATATCCAATAAGGTCCGTACCCTCCCCCCCTGGGAGGAGTATGTAGCCCACCAATTCTCTTCAATTTCATTTGATCTTTTAAAAAGTTATTCTGAAAATTTAAGCTTCTTTTTCCAATTACCTAGTTACAAAATGGCAGGAAATATCAATCACTGAGTTTGCTACTTTTTGATAGCATGTTACCCATTTCTTTGGCTAATAAAAGGCAAACTTCCAACTAAAGTTCTCCGAATCCTGCAAACTAGAGCTGTTTGTATTGCTCTGCTGGCAGGGGCTAGTACTCCTGCTTCTTCTGAAGAATTTTGTTTTCATATCTAAATGCAACTCTTTGCAAAAAGAAAAAATGGCCACATATATAATTTCACAGTCACACCACTAAAATCAAAATGGAGGAAATCTAAAGCTAATAAGCAAACTCTGGAATCTGGGTAGGTCTGCTTTCTTTGTTCTCAAGGTGAAAGCAGCCTACTGAACGGAAGGAATTACAATACTGAAAACTCCACAGATATTCTAACTATTCCTATTACCTCTAGTTTAAATTATGAAACTGAAAACATTTTATAGTTAAATTAAAGTCTTGTTTAAAATGAATCCATTAATGTAAACCCAACCACAAACCAAAGTTGTCAATTCCTATTAGTAATCTGGGATATGAATAGGTTAGTACTAGAATCTGCTTCAACCTCTATTTCCAGTGAAAATTCAATTTCTAAAGTCCTAAATCAGGGGTTCTCAAACTTTAATGTACATAAAAACCAGAGGGGTGGCTTTTGAAAGGCAATTCCCTAGTTCCCATCTCCAGAGATGTCATTTGAAAGTGGGGGGTAGGGAGCTGCATCCAAGGATCTGTATTTCCAACAAGCTGTTCTAGTGACTCTGATGCTGTCCTAATGTAAGTTTTTCGAAGGCTGCAAAAGGTTCAGTTACATGTTTGTAATCCTAAATTTTAAAACTGAATGAAAATCATGTTTTCCCCATTTTTTCTTTTGGATATCAAAAATAATTTTTGAAGAGGGATTAAAAGTAAACTTCTTGTATCATCCCTGACCCAAATACATGTTATTACTATCTCAATCTCCAATTGCAATATACTCACTTAAAGCCAAATTACTTAAAATTTAAAGTTCTCCAAAGCTTGCCCACTAGCTGCAGGATCAACCAAATCTTCGGTAATCCAATAATTCCAGATCCAAACCAGGGGACCACTCAAGATATTTTATAGAGCTAAAGTTATGAGACACTTTGCTTCATAACTGTTCTCCAACGCAACTTAAGCTGTGTGATCACTGCTTAAAGTTGTTAGTCTTTATATAGGTCAACAATAATGTTTCGAACATGAAATAAAGGGAAGAGTCTTACGGTCTGGAAAGTTCTGATTCTTTGATGGGAATTATTTTAATATAAAAATATTTGGTCCTATTGACTATTATCTCTTAGGTTTTTAGAGACAGGATAAAGAATGAAAATGACCATCCCTATAAACACTCATATCTGGTGGTAATAAAACCACTATTTAAAAAGCAGCAGGCATGCTGGTATTAGATATTTAGCTGTCAGTGAACTTCATATTTCCCTAATGTGCTACTGCTTTAGACACTGGCCTTACCCTGATCCTTTCATTGATGCCTCTCATTAATAAGAATAACATAGAGGGTAACTTTCTGTTGGTTATTGCCATTTTAACTTCTCGACAGTTTACTTTAACTCTGCTTAAGTCGAATAGTCCAGACCAGGAGTCCCCAAACCCGGGTTTGCATATGGTTCCATGGCCTGTGAGGAACAGGTCCGCACAGCAGGAGGTGAGCAGGAGGTGAGTGGCTTGGGCCTGCAAGCAAGTGAAGCTTCATCTGCATTTGTAGCAGCTCCCTAATTGCTAACATCATCACCTCAGCTCTACCTCAGATCAGGGATTAGATTATCGTAGGAGCACTGGTCCCTGATGCCAAAAAGGTTGGGGACTGCTGGTCTAGACAAATGAATATGCTGTTCACAGGACAAATCTTTTGGCACCAAAAAGCTAACTGAGCTTTAAATGCACTTGTCTTAAAGACATACAGCAATCATTAGTAAACCACAAGGTACAGAGAGGAAACGGTTTAGGAGAAAGAGTAGTATTGGTACTGCCGGTATTTCAAAACACTCATGGGAAGACATTAAGATAAAGGCATCGTGATATTTTCCTCTCTTGGACCTCTACATTGCACATGTTTAGCATGTTAAAGCCTCTGAGAAGTTCTGGAGTAAGGATATCACTTTACCTCAATATGTCCCAATTTTGTTTGATCGTAAAATCTTTTATTTTCAATGTTTTGAATGCGTTCTACTATACATGATTTGAGCAAGAAATCGAATCTTTCCGAGCCACCATTTCTTCATATGTGAAAATGATATAATGTCAGTCTACCTATCTCACAAGATAACTGACAGGAGCACATAAACCGTATGTTATCATTACCACTAAGAGTAATAGAGAGTTTAGAAACAGACATTTCAATCTTCATGGGAGTCAAAAACAAAAACAGCTAAAGGGAAGAAAATATTAAATATATTTCCTCCAAAGAGTTTTCATTCTTAAAAGCACAACTAAGTTTCAGTAATATCACAGTAGTAACAAGTCATACAAAGGTACTGCCATCTGCAGGCTAAAGAGATGGAATGCTTGCAATGGTTATTTAAAAAGATGTTTCAAACCATTAGGCACTTTTTCTCATCGGACTTCTTAAAGCCTTTCCAAAAGATGTTTATTCTTAGCTTTTGAGCATGGTAGATGCGGCTCTGTTTGCTGAAGTTCTGCAACTGACTCATTTGTCCTCTACACAGGACTGCTGTTTAGAAATGTGAAGAAAATTACCTTAGTTTTATATACCTACATTGTGCTCATATCAAAGTAATCAAGGAATACAGATTTTTTAAATATAGCCTTTGAGGAAAAACATCCTTGAATGGCCAGAGCTGACTTTTCAGAGTTACCTTTCAATGCACTAAAAGTAAATCTGCTCTCTCACACACAAAAACAGAGCTTATGAACAGATTACAAATAGAAGAGACTAGACTGTTAGCTTACAAATAAATTAGTTAATGCCTCCTTCAAACATGTGGTGTTCACAGGCACGGGACATTGAGCAAACAGCACCTAGAAACATTCCTTCCACTCGCAATATGGTTTCTCCAGCACATTCTACAAGGAAAATCACTGTTTCTATGTTTTAGGTTAAAGGATTTTGTTAGAGGTTTCAAAGAATATCTGGAGGATGACAGATGAGCTAAGAGAAAGGCAAAAATCCAGAATGAAGGAAGAAACTTATGTTAGCAAATAGCCAAGTGATCTCCAATACCCACAATGCAAAGTTTGGGCTTTACTGGTTTGAAAAAGTCAACATGAAAATAGTTTTCACACCCAGACTGACTCATACAGAAAACATTAAATCTCGAGTTGTCAAAATCCAAAACTGCTCCATCAGCGTTCGCAGAAACATCTTTTTAGAAACTGTAGTGTGACTACCACACCACAACGCTACAAGAAAACTGAAGAAGCACACACTTGAGCGCACAGTTCCTACAGTTCCCTGGGACTATCATTTGTAAGTCAATAATGAGAACGGTTTACAACGAGAAAGCTTATAATATTAATGATCAACCCTGAAGATCCTGGAGCATTTCGTAGGTTCTGCTATGCCTCAGGGAAAACTGCACAGAGCAAAAGCCAGAATGACAATTAACCCCATACTCCTAGGGCAGCGTTTCCCAAAGCGTAGAATGCAGAATAATTTCAGGAGGAACAAGGACGCACTGTTTATTTTAATAGACAGGTATTTATTTTTTTTATGAGCATTAGAAAAATAACTGGTTTCCAATATACGGTTTGTGATTTACGTTTCCACCTTAAACAAATGTACTTAAGAAGGGGGGGGGGGAATTTAAAGGAAAAAAATTAACATTCGGTAAACAAACGGCAGTACAGATGGTACCCGGACATAAAGGTGCAACGCGAGAGCCTGGAATTTGGGGAACGCCGTCCTAAAAAAAGCCCCTGGCAGGTTGTCCTGGAGTGGAAAGTGCCATGGATCAAGACGCAGGCGAGCCTGCAAGTTGGGCGCTGGCTCTGTCGCTAATTTCCGGGGTAACCACGGCACAGTTTCTTTCCCCGTTCTCTGGGGCCCAGGGTCCGCGTTATAAAATGGGTGGGGGTGTCACATGACAAGGAGACGCCTCGAAGATGCTGTCGAGGGGCCGCGAGGCGGCAGCGGCGATCAGGGACAGCGCTCGGTTCGCCGCACGGCGCTCTACGCCCCGGAACGCCCGGTGAGGCGGCTCGCATCCGCCCCGGTTCGAATCCCGACTGCGCCACTGGGCTCGCTGAGGACCTGCAGGCGAGCGACTTTGCCATTTGGAGAAAGGGGCGCGAAGTGTGCAGCCCTATCCTACAGAGAAGCCTGGAGGACTACTGTCGGCGATTGGCGCACGGACAGGAGGCTGCGGTGCGGCGCCGCCGGACCTGAGCCCACCCCCGGCCGCCCCGAATGGCCGGGCCTGGGCCTGACAGGAACCAGAGGAGGCCGCGTCCCGCACCGGGCATGCGCAGCCCCGCGCGTACCCGGAGGGAGCCGAGGCCGCAGCAGCGGTCGCGCGTCGAGCGGGCCCTCCCGCCTCAGCCTCCCCATCCGGCCCGGGTCCAAGTCAACCGCCTGCCCGTCAGCCCCACGCCTCGGCGGACGGCCACCGCTCCCCGACACTCACCGCTACCAGCGCGGCGGGCTCCCGGCCGCTCCTTCGCCTCAGGCCCGCCGCCGCCGCCGCCTCCGCCTCAGCCCACCTGCCCGCTGTAGGACAAAGGCGCCACCAACCGACCGGCGCGGGCACGAGGCAATGGCGGTCGGGGCGGAGAGTGGGGGCAGAGGGCGCGCACGCAGCGGCAGGCGCAGCAATGTCGCAACAGCGCGCGGGTTTACGGCAGGGCTGAGTTGGGGTGTCGATCTCCTTAGCAAGGAGGGCGGGGAAGTGGCTCCCGGGTGGCCGTTGAGAACGCGAGGGGTTGCCTAGTAACGGCGTCCCCGGCTGTGGTTGTGTCCTAGGCCGGCTCTCCCCACCCCGAAGGGCTTCGCTTTTCTTCCAATTTTCCGAGCTCCTTCCTTCCTCTCTGTGAAAATAGATCATATAAACCGTAAAATACTTTGATTTAATCTTGCGTAAAACTAAAAAAACAAAACACCTTGGATGTGTGTATTGGAGAATAGTGCATATATATATTCCTGTAACTTCTGGATCACAAGGAACAAAGGGAGCAGAGAGGTAGAGAAAACGTTCTATTTAAATTTACATTTCAGTAGGCTGTGTATGTACCCTATTAGTTTCACTGACAAGAGGCAAAAGGCTTTGGTGGTATAATCAGTTTCTTCTTGAGTTATTTATTTTTCTGGGAATATTCAATGTCAAAAATAAATTTCTCAGAATGTAAATGTTGACTGTGAAGCATGTAAAATGTCGTAGGGAATAGAATTTGCTCACACAATTGTAAATACACTCCACAGCTATCGCTATGGGAGTCAGGTAGGCTCTTTTATTAGTTAGGAAATGCCTCAGACCCCATGGGGTATAGTTTTTCTCTTTGTGAATAGTACATGCCAAGTAAAAATGGTGGCTGGGGAATTTGAACACTAGAAGTCAGATTTCTTTGACAACCACTCATATGTTCGCTCCTTCACTCATTTACTTGCCAAACGGAAAGTTTATTATACACCTATTAGGTGGTCTTATGATTTATTATACACCTACTTGCTAGGCATTATCATGAGCAAATGCAGGCCCATCTCTGTTATCTCAGAGATTGCTGTCTAGTGGAGGGATAGAATTAGGTGAATAATCACACTTGAGTGTGTAATTGCAAACAAGTAAATACCTGAAGGAAAGAAACAGGGATGCACTCTATTGTCTAGTTTTTCACCTTGTGAATAGTGCAGGATATGTCCAATGTCTATGAGAAGATAATGCTTGGCCTTCAGATCCTTACCATAATTCATCATGGCACCCGGGGAAATGTAAGCTGGGTGATTTTTCCTGCCTCTGCTGAGAGCTCCTGGGGAGCAGATAGGGACTTCTATTCCCAGGGATTAACCAAGAAGACTACTTTTCTTTCCCCCAGCTTGTTCACACTACGTTAGATTTTCAGGATTTTTTGGATTCACCTGCTTTCTTGGTATACTTTTGTGGGGCAGATTAGGAACCACACTTGACTCAGTTCAGAATCTTGTTTCTTTCCTTGGTTATCCCCTTTTTGATGTTTGTGCTATAAAGTTGTACCCTTTTTACCCTTTTGATTGTCTTAATTTTTTTGATAATTTTTTATTTTTTTGGTTAGATATATAGGGACAGAGATTCTCTAACCCAGTTTCATCTTACTATACCCACCCAGAAATTTCATATGATCTCATTTACTCTTCACAACAACCCCATGAGATAAGATACTGTATAATTTAAACTTTAAAAATTCCTTAACATTTTAAACATACATTAAAGCATATAAAATATTACACATGCCTTTATACTCACTGCTAAGCCTCTCCTCCCATCTTATTCCCCTCCCTTCCTGGAGATAATCACTTCCCTGAAATACATTCCCATGTATATTTTGTATTTTTATCATAAAGATATGTGTCTGTCTTCCTTCCTTCCTTCCTTCCTTCCTTCCTCTCTCTCTCTCTCTCTCTCTCTCTCTCTTTCTTTCTCTCTCTCTTTATTTCTTTTTCTTTCTTTCTTCCTAATCTGTATGCTATTGTTTTAATGTATTTAGATATATTTTCTGTATCCTTTTTCAACTTGCTTTTATCTTTTTAACTGTACTAAGTTTTCAAGATTTAACTGTGTTGAAACATATAACTAGAGTAATGGTTCTCAAAATATGTTCCCTGGACCAGTAAGCAGCATCAATAACACTTGATAACTTGTTAGAAATGCAAAATTTTGGCTCCACTCAAGACGAGTCGAATCAGCAACTCTAGGGGTAGGACCCAGCAATTTGTCCTTTACCAAGTCTTCCTGGTGATTCTGATGTACCATACAATTTTAGTACTGCTCTAATTTATTCATTTTATTTGCTGTATAGTATTTCTTTTATGAATCAGCCACAGTCTATGTATCTGTACTAGGGAATAGTTAGATATTTTTCTATTGCAAAGAGTACTGTTTTGAACATATTAGTACATGTCTCTTTGGGTACACATGTCAAAGTTTTCTAGGATACCCACTTAGGAGTGAAATTGCTGACTTTGTAGTATATTGCATCTTGAACTTAAGGAGGTTTAGCCAGACTGTTCTCCAAACAAGTATTAATGTATACTCTTGGCAGCAATGTATAAATATCATTTCTCAATTTAAGCGATATTGAGCATCTTTTCTTACAGGCTATTCAGGTTTCTTCCTTTATGAATTGCTTGTTGGTATTTCTAGACCATGTTTTTATTGGGTTTATTTATGTTTTTCTTATTGATCCGTAGAAATTGTTTACATATTCTGGATACCAGATACTAGAGTGAGGTCTTCTTGCTGTAGTTTGTTAATTTTGTTAATGGTGTCTTGTCATTCACAAGTTTTGAATTTTAACGTACTCATATGTTTCAACATTTCCCTTTATGATTTGTAGTGTTACGTGTCTTGCCTAAGAATTCTTTCCTTTTCCTAATGTCATATCGATAGTCTTCTTGGTTAATACTATTACTATGTCCATTTTATGGATGAGTCAGTTGAGACACAGAAAGCTTACATGACTTGCCCATGATCACAGAGTACTGGAGGTGAGTGACTTGGTCTCTTGACCCTTGAGTTGAATTGAACTCCACAGTTTAGGAACTTCTTCCCATTCTGTTCTGCTAGTTGTCTCATGAGAACACTTCTCAGTCTTTTTCTTTAGATATAGAGGATGTGCAGAGCTCAGATAGGCTGCAGGTTACATGCAATTCTCATTTACTACATAATGAAGCACTCTGGATTCTTAAAAATATCTTTACATTTTCCAAATAATTTCAAATTTAAAGAAAATTTGCAAAAAATAGTACAAAGAATTCCTGAATGTCTTTCACTCATTTTCCCAAAATGTTGAACATTTTACTTGTTTGCTTTATAAGTCTGTGTGTGTGTGTGTGTGTGTGTGTGTCTTTCTCTGTATTATCTCTGTACTAGCTAATTTACAGGCCTTATTTGAATTTCATCAGTTGTCCAGTTGTCCTACTGATGTTCTTTAGAGCAAAAGAAACAATTTTTTTTTTCCTGGTCCAGGATCCAGTTTAGGGTTACATGTTGCCTTTCATTTTCAAGTCACTTTGGTCTTCTTTAGTCTGCAACAGTTCTCCAGTCTTCTTTGTCTTTCATGACCTTGACATTTCTGAAAATGTCCCTTATTGAGGCTTGTCTGATGTTTCTTCATTGTTAAATTCAGGTTATACATTTTTTGGCAGGAATACACAGAAGTGATGCTGTGTCCTTTTCAGCCAGTAATTTTCTTTTGACTGGAACTCTCTGTAATATTATGTGCATAAATGCATTTTTTCCAGGCAAAGGGATTAATATCTCTTTATTTCCAATTCCCAAAAGGGTTCACATGACCTAATAAAGGCCAAGAAATTCTTCCTTACTCTGTGCTGGTCTTGGTGGAAGTCCTTGGCCAACAGGACTGTCTGAGAGAGGGAAGGAGAGAAGCATTGAGAGTGGGAGCAGAAGGGTCTACACCTTAACTGCACAGGCTTCACAACTGCCCCAGGACCTGCCTGTGCTGCTTTGGGGATTTATCCAGTGCATCATGTAAACAGACCTCTGATGCTCCAACTTTCTTGGCTCAATTCTATTAGGGGAATTTACTATTGATGAAGTCTTGGTGGATCAGAACACAGGCTGTGCACCCAGACTGGCCTACGATCATAACTCTACTCCACCACTTCTAGCTGGGAAAACTTCAGGCTGTTCTTCAACCTCCCCACATCTCATTTTCTTCATCTGTAAAATGGGGATAAGAATAGTATATACTTCCTCAGGTCAGTATGAATTAAGTTAAATTAAAGAGGTAACACATATCACGCATAAAGCTCTTAGAATCGTGCCTGGCTCATCCTATGAGCTCATTAGTCTATAGATCTCATATTTTCCAGGTTCATTTTATGACACCATGGTTTGTGTCTTTCTGTAGATTTGCTTGTGCTAACAGACCTTAGAACACAGAAGCCCTTAGGTTTTCATGGACTACTCTGTTCACAGGTGGAATAAATGGAATAAATGTCACTGGAAGCTGATCACTGAGTCCTTGTTCCCCAGGACATTGGGGTGGGGGTAGAGGAGACTTTGTTGTGATGATATTGAGTTCCTGGTGAGCCCTAACAGAGCTCATAACTCCATAAAGCAAGCATCTGCCAACAAAGTGGCAGCCCGTTGGGGAGCCCAGCCTCTATGACACATCCATTTATGTTTGTATAGCTTTGTACAACTGTGGCAATTAGAATCATGGGCCCCCAAATTTGTCCATGTTGTAATCTCTGGAACCTGTGAGTGTATCCCCTTACATGGCAACAGGGACTTTGCTGATGTCGTTAGGTTAAGGATCTTGAGATGAGGAGGATCATCTAAGTGGGCCCAATGTAATCACAAGGGTCCTTATAAGAGAGTCAGAGTCAGAGAAGGAGATGTGATGATGGAAGCAAGTGGGGGGTGGGGAGGGATATATATGGAGAAAGAGATATTGGAAGATGTTGCTACACTGCTGGTTTTGAAAATGGAGGAAGGGGCCATACAAGAAATGCAGGACGCCTCCAGAAGCTGGAAAAATCAAGAAAACAGATTTTCCCCTATAGCCTCAAGAAGCAACACAGCTTTGCTGACCCGTTTTTAACTTTTGACTTTTCTCCCACCAGAAAAC